GAGTCAGAGAAGCTGCCTCGGGCCCTGCCCGGCCGCCCGCGGCCCGCGGCCTCCTCGGGGCTGCCGGCCCGACCTCCTGCTTGTTCATTCAACCCACGAAGCCGCACCGCAGCCGGGCGCGGGGCGCGGGGGAAGCCGGTGACTCAGGCCGCCTCCGAGGAGAGCCCCGGAGCCAGCTCGGAGCGCCGCCAGCCCGGACGCGCCCTCCCTGGCCGGCTACACCCGCCTTCCCGGAGAGGCCAGCGTTTGCCCCACCTCTGCCCTGGCCGCCCCACCTGCGGACCCCTCGAGGGTCTAGTAGCTGCACCTTCAAAGGCCTCCGAGGTGGCCTGTGAGACTCGGGGTCCCAGCGGGCCCGCCGCCCGCCCCCCACCCCCTCCTGCCACCACCGGACTTGAGAGGGAGAATTGGCCCCGTCGGTGCCTCAGCCAGCCGGGCATGGGAGTGTGCCGAAGGCAGCCCCGGGCGACTCTTAACTCTCCACTCCACAGCTGTGTGTTCCTTCTTGGGATCTGTGGCTGTGACGTTCTAGCCAGGATGCTGAGCGTGGCGGCTACTCGGTGTGTGCGCCGTCCTCACAGGCTAGCACCGCGGTCCTGGCAGAGACCGCATCTGGGATGTGTTGGGACTTGGGCACATCTGTGCCCATCCCTCCAGTAGCTGGGCACATCTGTGGGAAGATCTGAAGACAGAGGGTGGAGCAGAGGCACGGAATTAATTTAGCATGACAATTGCCCTGCAAGGTGTGCTTACCACCCAGACTCCCTTGTTTTGGTGTTGGCTGAGGAGGGAGCAGGAGGAAGGGGTGCCTTCTACAACTGACACCCAAAGTACCACTGACAGTACAGCCCAAGAGATGAGGCAGTCTGGAGAAGGGGAGAGGAGAGTGACGGGTCTGCCAAGATTTGTACCCCTTGCCCTCCTTAGTGACCATGTGGTCAGTTACTTGCTGGGCAGGGATTTGCTTGTCTGGTGCTGTGGCTGTCTGCCCCCGGCAAGCCCTAGCTGGTGGTGGTCAGGACAGGTAGGAGAAGATAGCATCTGCTTTGCTCACAGACTGACTCGAGTCCTTGCTCTTGACACTACCCCACCTGGTGCCACGATTGCCGGCTTACTTGGGAACCTCTTTGCATCTTTATGGTTTTTGTCAGCACACCCCCAGCCTGGCTGCCAGCCTCAGACCCAGTTATGAAGAATCTGACAACATTCCTGCTAGCTAGCTCTTACACAGGACTTACCAGGTGTAGGGCCGAGAATGCCTAGTAATGGTACACTCAGGTTCTCAGCCTGTACCAGTGTGCACAAGGATCTAAGCTCAGGCATTTTGCCCTTTATGATGACCCTATGATCAGCGGCAGACCGAACTCCAGTCCTGCCCCTGGTACGGTCTGGGCAGAGCCTGAGCCACTGACCTGAAGTGTGAGGCCTTACCAGGAGCTGCCTAGACATGCCGGGTTGCCCTATCTCCCGCCCACTCTCCACAACCAGCCAGACAGATAGCACTGCTCCCCAGACCACTCCCTGCTCCCTCACTTCCCCTGCCAGGTATCCATCCCCAGGGGTTACCTCTTCATCCCACCCACTGCCCCCTCCTCCAGTCAGCCTGCCTGCCATCCAGCTGGAAGGGACTCCCCTGCACGGGCCACCTCTCTCAGCATGGCCTCCTGGTGTTGGTTGTAGCTGTCACCTGTCTGCTTTTGACCCCACAGGGGCGGCACAGCCTTAGAAAGCATAGCCAGTACTTGTCCAATTTCAGTAAGAACACATTTCCAGCAATCTCTTTGTAAAATAGCTTGGCAACTTCTTAAACAAGCACATCCTCTTGGTGCCCAGGCCAGTCACAGCAAGTTCACTGCCAGGAGTGTCATCGCTTGATGTCTTCAGGGCGCTTGTTTCAGGAGCCCCTGCTGCTCCCCTAATCTATTATCAAAATCTACCCATTATACACTGTCTGTATGCTTTTATTGTGTGTAATTAGAACTTAATCTAAGAGAAGCAATGTAAATAAAGAGCATGCACATGTGAACATACATACAATCACACACACACACACACACACACACACACACACACACGAAGCTTGCTGGGCTTGTGGTTGATTTGAAGCCTCCAACCCAGCCTTTTCTGGTCACATGCATGAGCTACCAGAGCTTTTGTAAAGTACCATTCTGATGAGCTGTGTGACACTGGGATGGAAGCTGGGAGCTGGACCCCATAGTTAGGGTCAGACAAGGAAGCTAGGTGCTAGGTGAGCACACAGTAGGCCCGGGGTTTCTTGCTTCCTTTTTGGTGTGTGTGAGGGAGACTTCCTAACGTGTTTGTTCTCCTTAGTATTCCAGTACGGGTCCCAGGAGAGAACATGTCAAAACCACGTCCGACCCCCAGCCAGGCTTTCTGGAGCGGCTGAGTGAGACTTCGGGAGGCATGTTTGTGGGGCTCATGACCTTCCTGCTCTCTTTCTACTTAATTTTCACTAATGAGGTAAAATGTCTGGGGGGCCCCTGTGTGGAGTGAGGGTCCCCACAGATTCAGGGAACAAAAGCTTTGAACCCAAAGTTTGGATCTGGTAATAACAGGCTTAGGTTTCCCAGACAAGGAAGAGGAGGGTGAATGGCTCTCGATTCTTCCCGTTGTGACCCACCTCATAACGAATGGCAGTGAGGAAGGGGTTAATGGCTCACACGCCTGAAAACCCCACTTCCCGCCCGGGTGGATCAGAGTGCTTTTGCCTGGTCACCAGGAACCTCCACGACTTCAAAAATCTGCTGTGGCACTTTTCTTGAGCAGACCTTTCTAGGCTCATATCCAGGTTGCCTAGAAGTCCTGGAGAAAACAGGCACTGTCATCTCTATCTCTAAGTCAGTTTCTTGGAAGTTCTGGGGGCTCCCAGTGGCCCTGTTTGGGGCTAGTCCTCTGAACCAGTGCTGTGGCCAGGGGGCACGTGTTCTGATTGATGGAGCTCAGGTCACGTGATCCAGACAGTGGTTCAGGCCGGCTGGTGTAAGCCACGTGGGACTGTAGAAAGCAGAGGAAAGGCGGGGTGAGCACTGGACAACAGAACCACCAGTCCTTCCCGACATGAGTGCGGTGCCAAGCCAGGGGGCAGAGGGGAGGGGTCGTGGGAACTGGTGGGATCGTAGTGGGGGGTCTGCCAGGAATCCTGGGTTCCATTGTTGACTCTGTACTTGGTGGGCCTCAGTTCACCAGCATAGAATGGGGAGCTGGGTCTGTGCTCCTGAGGCGGCAAAGCAGTCGCAGTGTCAGCCATTCCTGCTCTACTCCGCCCGCAGGGCCGTGCGTTGAAGACAGCCACTTCACTGGCGGAGGGGCTGTCGCTCGTGGTGTCTCCTGACAGCATCCACGTCGTGGCTCCTGAAAATGAGGGGAGGCTGGTGCACATCATTGGGGCCCTGCGAACGTCCAAGGTAGGCGTGGCCGTGGCTGCTGGCACTGCGGCTCAGGGCGTGGGTGTGGCTCCCATCAGATGGGGTCTGTAGGGGGATGGCGCCAGTGTCTGATGTGGCACCACCTCCGTGGTTGGGGCAGGGGAACTGCTCTGGCTCCTGCAGCTCTGCAGTAACTTCAGTGTCCAGTACTTGCTGGCGATGCTCTGGGGCGCATACAGCCCGACCTTATATTCCAGGATGACACTCATTGCCTGGCGCGCGGAGCCTGGGGCACGCAGCTCCACTGGATCCTCCGACGTCTGGCTGTTCATTCTTGGTCCTATTCTCTGCTTCTGTGTCTCCTCTCTGGCTTCCTGTAAAACAGGGATTCTGGCTGCTGGGAGTCTTACCTTTATTTTTCTGGTTTGATTCCTTTTGAAGCTCTTGTCTGACCCAAACTATGGAGTCCATCTCCCAGCTGTGAAGTTGCGACGGCACGTGGAGATGTACCAGTGGGTAGAGTCGGAAGAGTCCAGGTGAGGCTCCAGCGGTGAAGCATCAGTTGGGGTAGAGATGCAGGCACTAGGGTAAAATAAAATGGCTTTTATTTTGACACCTCCAAATTTCCTATTAGAAAAAAAAAAAGTCAACTATTCCAAAGTTAGTAGCAGTGATATTTTTTGGAGGTGGCAAAAAGAAGTCCAGTGCAGAGTGGCTCCAAATCACAAGGACACACAGTTGGAGGCATGACTGAACCCAGGCGCGGCACGGTGAGCGTGCCCTTGCGGCGCCCGCTGTGCCCGCTGCGCTCAGGGGTCCCAGCCCCTCTCCCACAGCCGGCTCCAGTGTGACTGGAAGGCCCGGGGCAGGTTCTCAGGGGCTGGCGTGGAGCATAGCCCCTCCTGGGCCGTGTGGGAATGGCTGGAGGCTGGAGAAGGGCAGCCCTTGGGGCCTACCCTGGAGCCCCTGCCAGGCTGTTTAGGAGCTAAGGGTGTGCCAGATCTCAGCTGGGGTGGAGGGGGGAGGGGAAGAAGCTGTGGGGAAGAGGGGGGGGCAGATGCCAGTATGGGCCAAGGAGCACTTTCCTCCAGTCTGGCCTGCGACCGGAGGAGGGCATCTGTGCTGGGCTCCTGCAGGCAGGGCTGCTGCTTCCTGTGGCCCTAAGCGTGGCTCCTGTCTGGCGATGCCTGGCTGACTCGCGGTGTCTGTGCTCTTTGCAGGGAGTACACGGAGGACGGGCAGGTGAAGAAGGAGACAAGGTACTTCTACAGTGAGTACTGGCCCCGCCGAGGCGTGGCACGCGCCCACGCATCTGTAGTCTGCCCATGGATGAGGCTGGCAACGGGGAGGACAGTGGGGCTTGAGCACAGCCCCAGCCTTGGGACGCCCTAGGGGCCAGCCCTCCAGACATCCCACAAGCTGCCCCCCGGCCCCCAAGTGCTAGAGATTCAATTAGGACCCTGGCGTGTTGGTGGCAGCCATGTAGCACTCTTACCTGCTTCTGAGTTGTCTCTCTCCCCGAGCAGACACGGAATGGAGGTCAGAAATTGTCAACAGCAAAAACTTTGACCGAGAGATTGGCCACAAAAACCCAAGGTAAGCACTGGACCCCGAGCTCAGGCCAAGCCTTTCCCTCTACTGGGAGCCTCAGTTTCTTCATCCAAGTCTGGCTGTGTCAGTCCTGCCCCGTGCAGTGGTAAGGGTGTACGACATGGTTTTAAGGCCAAGCCCGAGCTAAATGAGACCTGACCTTACGGGCCCAAACAATCACCAAGCTGGACAGAGGGCCTGACGGGATTGTAGTCTAGGAAAGCATTTTGTTAAGGGTCAGCCAGGTGATCCTGTAGGAGGATGCTCAGCACCTCAGCCCTGCCCAGCCTTGAGGCGGTGGCGGCACCCACGGGGGCCTTGTGAGGCTCTGCAGCCAGGGCAGTGACTTGCTCAGGAATGGCGAGCGTGCCACTCGTGGCCATGGCCAGTGCTTCTGCGAAGGAGGGGGGCATGAAGTTCTAGGGGACAGGGACAGAGCCGGGGTGTTCAGCCCAGGGCAGGGACAGGAGCCCTCAGAGGTGGTGTAGATGTGAAGAAGCCCGGGGCGGGGCTCCCAGCACACACAAGCACAGGAGCTTGGCAGCTCTTACCACGCCCAGCACGATGCCCCCTCCCCCACAGCGCCATGGCAGTGGAATCCTTCACCGCAACAGCCCCCTTCGTCCAAATCGGCAGGTTCTTCCTTTCGGCGGGTAAGTCTCTGCCCTGTGACCCAGTGCAGCCCGGAGGCCCTGGGGCAGTTGGCCTGGGAGGGAAAGGGTGCAGGGGCACTGCCATGCAGGGCTGGTAGAGATGGCGGCTTGCCTTGGGCACTGGGAAACCCTGGGAGCATGGGCTCAGAAACAAGTCCTCCAGCCGTGTGTGGTCGTGCACACCTGCAGTCCCAGTACTTGGGAAGCCAAGGCGGGAAGATGGGAAATTCCAAGTCAGCGTGCGCATGTGGTCTAGTCTCTGTCTCAAAAATAAGTAACAATAATAAGAAAGGTGGGAGAGGCGTGTGTGTGAAGGGAGAGGTGGCCTGGCCGTGATGGCTGGGCTCAGGAAGGCGTGAGTTGCAGGGCTTGCAGATTGGGGAGTTCTCCATGGGCCCCGTGGCTTCTACCTACTCTTCTCTTAGGCCTCATTGACAAGATTGACAACTTCAAGCCACTGAGCCTGGCCAAGCTGGAGGACCCCCATGTGGACATCCTTCGCCGGGGAGACTACTTCTACCACAGTGAAAATCCCAAGTACCCGGAGGTACCAGGAGCCATGGCTGCCCACTGGTGGAGGCCGGGAGGCATGGGCTGCCCATCGGGCAGAGGCCAGGAGCCAGGGCTTAGCAGCCTCCTCCAAGGCCAGCACAGGGCACCAAGCCCGGGTGGGCCGGTGACATTGGTGGAGGTAGAAGGGGAGCCTGGGCGGACTTGGCTACTCCTCAGCCCCCTTTGTTTCCCCCAGGTCGGTGATGTGCGCGTCTACTTCTCCTACGCAGGACTGAGCAGCGATGATCCAGACCTGGGCCCAGCCCATGTGGTAACCTGGCTTCCTGGGGGCAGCTGAGGGTTTCACAGCACCCCTGGGCGCCGCCCCTGTGCACTGTGGGCCTCCCTGGGGAACGCACATGCCACTCACCTTCACACAGTCAGCCTCAGAGTCTCGTCCTCCCCACACGCATTGCTGGCCCCGCGCAGAGCACGGCTGTTCCTGAGGAATCTGCCTCAGAATTCCACCTGACTCAATTCAGGCACACGAGACCCTTCCCCCAGCCCGACTGTCACCTATGAACACATAATTGGTCCCCAACCCTGGGAATGTAGTCAGGAAGTCCACCTGGATCTGACCCAGGAAACAGCAGAGCACACCTGGGGCCCAGATAGGCCAGGTGAGGGAGGAGAGGTGGCGAAGTGGGCTTGGCCAGGCTGCACTGGCCGCCCTGCCACGGCGCTGCGTCCTACCCACGGCCAGCTCCAGGAAGACGGCCCTGCCCCGCCATGCACACCCCATCTGCACCCACTGTCCCAGAGCCTGCCCCTCCCTGCCCACGGCAGCCCCGGCCTTGGCCGTTCTCCCAGGACAGGGCACCCCATAGCATTGTGAAGACAGGCTCCCCACTGCCTTCCCTGGGTGACAGAGCCAGGGGTTGGGCTCTGGTGCGGCCCTGTGCCCCATCCTTTGGTTCCCCCCCAACCCACTCATCTCGTAAGCCTGACTTCTCTGGCCAGGTCACCGTGATTGCCCGGCAGCGGGGTGACCAGCTGGTCCCGTACTCCACCAAGTCCGGGGAGACCTTGCTGCTGCTGCACCATGGTGACTTCTCGGCAGAGGTGAGTCACCGCTGCCTCCTCACCTGCATGGTAGCAGGACGGCAGGGCCACCTCCCGGGGGCCACTCGCGAGCCGCCACCTCGCTGTGGCAAAGGTGGAAGAGGTGGAGAGCCCCTGCTGGGCAGGGAGAAAAGTGTGGTGCTGGCTCCTTGGTAAACGTGTGCGGGCCTCAGGGATCAGCCGAGCCCTCTGGTTCCCGTTACTGACCCTCGGCTGCCATCTGACATCCCATCAGCCTCGCTCCTGTACCTGGCCAGGACAGGGTGCGGTGCGGTGATGCTGTTGTTGCGCAGGGCTTAGTTACCAGGCTCAGGGTGGGGCTGCCACTTGCCAGCCTGGTGGGCCGTGAGTCACCGAGGGCTGTTCTAAAATTAGGTCCCTGTTCTCTCCGGGGGCTGGGACAGCCCCAGGTCTCAGCTGCCCTCAGAGGCGTGGAGCTAGCTGCGTGACTCGCAGGGGGACAGCTCTCCACTGCAGAAGGTCCTGAGAGCCCCACCCCCAAATCAAGAGGCCAGGGGCCCCCCCAAGCCACTCTCCCCTTCTTGTCCTCTCCAAGCGGTTTCCTCACCTGTACACAAGGCTTGCCAAGCAGCAGCCCCGGCCCTGCCTTGTTTGGGGGCTGTCCACTCACTCAGCTGTGTGTTGAACACCAGGGGTGCGCCGGCCCTGGCCCCACCGCCAGGAGCACTGGCTTCTTGCTTGCTTGTCCTCTCCAAGCCTCATCTCATGTCAAGTGAGCTGAGGACTCAGCTCCCAGTGTTGAGTTATTCTGAGGAGCTAGTGACAGTGTTGGTTAGTCAAGTGACAGGTCGCTGCTTTTACCATTGGCGTAGAGAACTGGACAGGAAACAGGTATGATGTAGATGAGGGAAGGCTCTGAAGAAATGCATTTTGAGTTGAGCTGGGGGCCTGTGCGCAGCTCCTGGGCACGGCTGTGGGTGAGCATGATAGGCAAAGCAGTCAACCTGTGCAGAGGCCCAGAGGTGACTGGACACATGACCTGGTCTGGCACAGGCTGCCCGTGGGACTGGAGGGTGGCAGGGCCTGGGGAGGCTGCTGGGTGTGGAACGTGGCGGGCAGAGCATGCAGGGGGCCGTGTGGGGGCTAAGAGCAGAACAGTGAGGGGGTAGGCTGGGCTGGGCAGAGGAGAGGCTCATGGGATGTGGATACAGACAGCTAACAGGACCCGGATGGCCCAGTTGGCATGTGAGGGGAGAAGCAGGCCGCGTGCAGCCCACGGGTTCAGCTTGTTCAGGTGTGTGGCCGAGGTGGAGAGAAGGGGGCTGAGGTGGGGGCCTCAGCTCTGCAGCACGGCCCAGGGCCAGCATGCACCGTGTCACCTGCTCAGGGAAGGTGGGTGGTGGCCCCTAGGAGACCGCTGCTGTGTGGCAGAGGGTGGCACTCATCACTCTCCTGGGGAGGCAAGTGCCTTCGACCAAGGTCTCCCGTGTCACGTCCTGTGCTGTGCCACATGGACAACACTTAGCAGTGGGTGGCCATCTCCGTGGTCTGTTCACAAATGGCACAGCTCCCTCAGCACCCCTCACGGTCCTGACACTGTCCACCTTGTCCTGCAGGAAGTGTTTCGTAGAGAACAAAAGAGCAACTCCATGAAGACGTGGGGCCTGCGGGCGGCGGGCTGGACGGCCATGTTCCTGGGCCTCAACCTCATGACGCGGATCCTCTATACCCTGGGTAGGTGCAAGGTGGGGTGAAGGCCAGGGAGCCCCCTTCCCACAGACCCTGGACGTGTCACACTCCTCGGAGCCTTTCTTGCCTAATGGTTAGCGACTGGGCAGATGGCCCTCTCGGTCCCCACTAGCTTTGAGGTGACAGCAGGGAAAGGCAGCAGAGGGACAGGCTGGCCGCCTCTGGGGAGGCTGCCCTGGCTCCTGTGATCTGAAGGTCTGGCTCGCTCGCCTCATTCCTTTGCTTCACAGTCTCAGCCACGGTGACCACGCTGGCCAGCTCTGGAGGGAGCTGGGGCTGTTTGAACGCTGTCCAGTCAGCTCCGGCTACCCAGGCCATGCTGTCTCCAGTTGGAGCTTTTCTTCCCTCCTATCTACCTTGGGAGATTTGTGACATGCTTGGCAAATAAACCCTCAAAAACTGCTGTGGTTCCTCCCTGCAACAGCCCGGACCAGGTGCGGGTGGCCAGCAAGAATGGGTAGAGGAGGAAGTGCGTGGGCTTGCTTGATGGCCTGAGGCTGGCTGGTGCCAGGGAGCCCACCGAGTCCAAGTGACCAGCCGGTGTGGTACCCAGTGCCCAGGCTGTGGGGTGTGTTCTGAGTCAAGACGGTTGGTGTAGGAGACGGTGGACCAAGGGGACTACCCCCCTTTGCCTCATTGTGCTCCGCCCAGCCTTCCCTGGGTGCCAGCACAGGCCAGGGAAGCAGCCGGGTTGCGGCACACGCTAGGCCTCCCTCTCTCACGGAGGCTTCATTGGGTGGCTTCCTTGTGCTTGAGCCCGGCCCCCCCTGGGGCCCCAGTCCTGTGTTGGCCATGTGACTGGGGACAGGCCACTTCCTGCTGGCGCCGGGGGCCCTCCGTTGGCTCGGATGCCCTCCTCGCATGTTGCGTGCAGCGTTGCTCAGGCAGTAGCAGAGCAGGAGGGGCCCGCAGGAGTGGGGTACACAGCAGCCACGTGCTGTCAGACTCTGCTCCAGCCCCAGACCTCAGTGAGCAGGACAGAGCCTCTGACCACGCAGGAGACGGTGCAGCCAAGAACACTGGCCTCAGACTAACGGCAGCATGAGCTTTGGAGTCCAAACGGACTCCACATTTCTCCTTTTCTGGGACTGGGCAGAGCAGGTGGTGCAGGGGCTGTACCTCCACATGCCCCTCCCACACAGGGTGGTGACCAGACGGGAGGTGCGGACATGGTCTCTGGGCCTCACAGTCCTTCTTCCCTCCACAGTGGACTGGTTTCCCGTCTTCCGAGATCTGGTCAACATTGGCCTGAAGGCCTTTGCATTCTGCATGGCCACCTCGCTGACGCTGCTGACCGTGGCTGCTGGCTGGCTCTTCTACCGGCCCCTGTGGGCCCTTCTGTTCGGCTGCCTCGCCCTGGTGCCTATCATCATTGCCCGGACCCGGGTGCCAGCCAAAAAGCTGGAGTGAAGGAAGCCTGGCACCCACCAACACCTGCGTGAGCCTCAGGGCCTCCCTTCACCTCTGCCCTGCTCCCTGCCGGAACAGCCCTTTGAACCCCACTCTTCACGGGCCACACTGGCAACTTGCATGTCCGTTTTGGTGTTGGCCAGCGCGCATCTTCCCCGCCCTTTTTCTTGATAGTATGCGGCGCCGGTGGCAGGACCCACGTGAGCACAGTGACCCAGCCTCACCAGCCTGAGTGGGTGTTGCATTCCACTCGGCTGTCAGCCCACACCTGCTAGTGAAGGGCTCGGCCCTGTCACCCCCTCCCCCCAAACAAGTACCATGGCTGCACACGAGCCTCAGGGCGGCCCCTACCGCTGCCAGGCTGCGCTGGGTTGCCAAGACTCACTCTTTCAGCCTGGCACAGTGAGTGCTGCCAAAGCCAAATCTGCTGGTAGAACTTGATTTGATGCCAAAAAAGGCTGGGCACAAGTGCCCCTCATCTGTAATCCTAGCCACTTGAGGGTTGAGATGTGACCATCACAGTTCAAAGCCAGAAAAAATTGAAAACTGAGCTCTAAGTAACCAGCAAAAAGCTGGGAGTGGTGGGGTACCAGCTGTGAGCAAAAAGCCAAGCAAGAGCTCAAGGCCCAAAGTTCAAGTCCCAATACTGACACAGAAAAAATATACTCAAGATATCATGATAAAAACATTCGTTGGACTTCACACCACAGTTTGACAGAATCATCGCGAAGCCTTCAGCAGCCCTGGCTCTGCTTTTTGGCTACTCTGTTTTCCTACTCCACAAAGGAGTTAGGGTTGAAAAAACTCAAAATAATCCCCTCCACTGAACAATTAGCAAGGCAGAATGTTACTGAAAATACCCTTCATTTGAGCTAAGTGGGAAAGGTATTCAGTTGGGTAGACTTCATGGACTTTAAAAAGTTACCTGGGGTCGCTTGTGTGCTTTGCTCTGCAGTGCTTTGAAACAGATGGTCACAACAGGTCTGTGTCCACTGTGGGCAGGGGCGAAGCAGGCCCTGTCTTCCTGTTGTCAGAAGACACCCACTCACTTGAAGATGCCTTCAATCATGTTAAGGCCAAGGCTGGACGCCTCATGTGGAGAGCTTGGTGGTGGCCCCGGCGCCAGTGGCAGCTTCTGAGTCATTTCTTTGGTGCTGAATGCCCATCCCTTTGTCCTATCTAAAATTCACACACTTAATTCACCTAGTTTCTAAGTTTCCCAATTACTCTTCCACCCTTTGAAAGCATGCTGCCACCCTGCTGTGCTAGCGGGCTTGGTACAGCCCTCTCATTTCTATTTGCAAACTGTTCTGTCCTTTGCTGGGAGTGGTTGCTTTGGCAACAAAATATTTGGTAGCTGAACAAGATGAAAACGTGTGAAGCCAGTGGCCTGTCACAGTCCTTGTTCTACAGACTCTGGGCTATGAATCAGGATTCTTGCAGAAAATGGCAGCTCCACAAATGACTTACCTGGGTGAGGGCTACAAGCATTCATTGCCGCCACGCTCATGGACGCACTCTTCAACCTCTTAAAGCTATTCTTGGAAAATAAGCACAGCATTAATGACGGCTAAGACTAAATCCTTAGGATTCGGTTCATGTTTTTTTTTTTTTTTTTCTCCTTATATGGATCTTACCTGCCAATTTCAAGTGTCCTTAAAAAGAAAAAGGTATATAATCTGAAGACTTTGGAAAACCACAACAAAATTTGTATTAGCTGTATATTTTTCATAAAGCTTTGAAATAAATGACTATATATCTTTTGGCATAGGGTATTCCTTGCAATTAGCCTGCTTTTCATTTGGTGATTGGTGGAATTTTTGTTAACATATAAATTCAGACATCAACCTTAGGAACTGGATGAACTTCAGTTCTAGGTTGTTCTTAGTGGTTAAAATGGGTTTCCGTTCTTTTTACAAGAGCAATTCCATATTTTTTGCACTAAATAAAGCCTACTTTGTCTTGGCTGTATTTAAGATGAATGATTCATGCTTTGTGAGCCTTCAGAATGTGCTAGAAGAGGTGGAGTATGAAGGCTGGGAATGTGGCTTAGTGGTACAGTGCTTGCCTAGAACACATGAAGCCCTGGGTTCAATTCCTCAGTACCATATAAACAGAAAAAGCTGGAAGTGGTGCTGTGGTTCAAATGGTAGAGTGCTGGCCTTGAACAAAAGCAGCCCAGGGACAAGGGCCTAGGCCGAGTCCAAGCCCCAGGACTGGTGGAGTGTGAGTTGGTGTACAAGGCACTGGCCTTGAGTTCACACAGACCAGCCTCCACTGAAGAGAGCCTCGGCTTTCTTCCCACGCAAGGGTTGCTGCAGGACCCAGGAGGGTCAAGCCGGTGAGGCGCCCACACTCACGCCGAGTTTTCCCCTCCCTACTTTGAAGCTCTCAGCTTTGTTACAGACAGTAATAATTTTCCAAAACCTATTCTTTAATTTCTGAAAATCTAAGTATTTCATTTCCTTAATGCTTCCTAGTAACTGACATCGGCCTGAATAGGTTCTCTCTCCGTAAACTGGCCTCAAAACCCCAAAAAGCAGTCACTTGCCCTAGGAAGCTTGTCAGGCTCTGGGCAGAAACTGAGAGAATGTAGTTTCCATAGCAACCTGTCTGTTGGTCACACCCCAAATGTTGTGTTTCCCTTGGGTAAGAATGACTCAACACTTTCAGTGGCTGCTTTCAGGATTAAGTAATTCCTCCTACACAAAGAAAAAGATTGCTAGTGTGTAATGTTTCCAGCTCACACCTAAGTTTTCATCTTAGATTTTGATACTTGCAGTGTTAGCATAAATATAAATCACTACTCTGCCCCCATACTGGGACTTGAACTCAAGAGCCTCTAGTTCTTCCTTAGCTTTTTTGCTCAAGGCTGGTGCTCTACCACTTAAGCAACAGCTCCACTTTTAGTTTTTTTGTGGTTAACTGGAGATAAAAGTCTCACAGACTTCCTTGCCTGGCCTAGCTTTTAACTGATCTTCAGATCTCAGCCGCCTGAGTAGCAAGGATTATAGCCTGACCACCAACACCTGGCTTTATCAAGGTGTTGTTTTGGTTGGTCGTGGGGCTTGAACTCTGGGCCTGGGAGCTGTCCCTCAGCTCTTCAGCTCAAGGCTAGTACTCTACCATTTGAATCACAGCGCCACTTTCTATCAGGGTGTTCTTTGCTGACGTGAAATCTAAAAGAAAGTGCAAAGACAAGTCTTGTTAGAAAAATGCTTTATTTTTTTTCTCAAAATGTTATAAAATTTTTTCTCCTAATTATCTACAATGCGTGATTCAGAGCTTTGTAAATTTATCCAGTCGTGAATAAAATATGCAGCTTAGCACTGATCCACTTTTACTTCCATTTCCTTAATTCACTATTTTTTCCTTTCCTAAGTTTAGCTCTTTACTCTAGTCTTCTGCCATCATAAAACTGACTGAAAATTAGATCCCATGATCTGAGCTGTGCTGCTACCAACTAGGAAGAGGCAGCGCTGGGCAGCACAAAGAAATGTGGTTCAGAACTAAAGGATGGAGGATCAGGACATCCTAAATGCAGCTCCATCCACAGTTCCCAGTGATTTTTGTTTTGAGAGAGAAAAAAAACATTTCCAAAGGACAAGCCCTCAGGGTCAGGGAGTCTCCTATGGCTGTATTCTGTAGCTCAGAGGAGGCTTTGGTAAAAACCTTCGAAAGCCCGTGCTAGGCAGACCAGCCTGCAGCAGGCCCTTGCTCACCACGGCCCCCAGCTGCTCGCTCCCACAGCACGGGCCTGGCAGGGCTCATGGTGAAGGAGCGTCTGGAGTCGGGGCTCAGGTCACAGCTTCTCAAAGGGGAACAGGTGGGCAGCAACCGCTTTCCTCCCCCTTCTGGATGTCCTGTGGCACTTGGGCTTTTGCTCCTCTTCTTCCGCCTCTCGGTTTTGAGGCCAGGAGGCAGCCAGGATTCTGGCCGTTTCTGCCTGTGAGCTGGTCCCCTCCTCTTCATCAGAAGAGAGCCCGCCTTCCCCATCCATGTGGGGAGCGACTACCTCGCTCTGGAGGGGCGGACAGAGGCCATGGTCTCAGCGACTGGCTGTGGAGATGCACCTTCAAGCAGCAGCAGTCTCTGGGGGACCTGCCCACCCTCCAGCCTGCCCGGGGCTGTGTGGTCGGCAGCACGGGGTGCACCTGAGCAGGTTCTTGGGCCCTGGCTGGGAGGCAGCAGCCAGCCGGCCTGCAGGCAGCGGCCCTCCAGGAGTGCAGCCATGTCTGGGGACAGCCAGCTGTTACTCCCATCCATGACTTCCCTATGACAAACGTGCTCAGACACACACAGGACAACTTCAGTGCCAAGGCTCTGAGACGGGCGCCCCCGGGGATGGGGGCGTGTCCAGATAAACGTCTGACCCCAAGCTTGTGGAATATGCAAAGGCCCCACACCGACCTTGGCTCCATAGCGAAGTTTCAGCCTCTCTCTGATGAGCAGTCCTCTGACCAGCAGCTTCCAGTTTCCCAGAGCTCGCTTCTCTCTCTTCTGCAGACAGAAACCCAGTGAGAAGAAATACTAACCACCGATATTCTCAGGCAGAATATTCAGATGGACCTGGAATATGTATATTATCTGTGCAGCTCTAAGTTGAAAGAGAATCTGTCAATCATACCAAGTCTCAGCTTAAAAACACTACTCTGATTTATAAAATGACATACTTGAAATCTTCCAACAGAGTCCTCTGCTGACTTGCTGCTGGCTGCAGTTCTCAGGGGAAGTGGTCATCTGGGACCCAGACCGGGGGCAATTCTTTTCAAGGCAGGGCAGGTTGGCAGAGGTGCAGATAGTGACCGTGACAGTGGGTGTGAGGGGCAAGGGTGGGGGCGGAGCCTGTGTGGCCCATGCTCACTCCCTACAGTACCTTCCATGAAATGAAAGGGGAGAGGGGTGGGAGACTCGGGCCCCCATCTTCCCATGTGCTACAGAGACCAGGGCAGAGGAGAGCAGCGGCCCAGCTGTGTGCTTGCCCCTCCCCTCACCTCCTTCTCCTTCTTCTCCGCGAGGGCCTGCTCGTTCTCCCAGGCGGCCAGGAGCACGTCTCTGAACTCCTCACAGACGATGTAGCCATCAGTTCTGTGGGGACACCACCGGTGGCCCTCCCTGAGCCCCCCTGCTCCGCCCCCCTCCTCGGCCTCCCCTGAGCACTTGGGGCTCTAAAGGGTGAGCAGGCCAGGTGGTGCCAGGCACCCATGCAGAAGGCAGGTCCAAAGACCAAGTGTGGGCCTCCACACCCGCACACACACATGTGCACACGTGTACATACATGTACACACACAGAGCTTAGTGATCAGGAAGGCTGCTGACCCCACTCTGGTCCCCTGCCCATGACTTCCCTAGAGCAGTGTTTTAGCCCAAGGACACCAGCCTTGCTGGATTTATCACCTCTGGGCAGAAGCCACCCTTGGCTTCAGGTTGACTTTAAACCTGCATCAGCTTTCCCCCCATCGCTGTGGCCTCCCCAACCCTCCACTGAAGGTCCACACACATGGGGTGGGAGTAGCCTCCATGGAAATCGAAGCCAGTGATGGCCTGGACGCAGTCGATGTCCAGTTTGCGGGCCACACGGTGCAGATTGGGCAGCCTCAGCTGAACACAGCCGATGGGCATCATGCAGGGCAGGAAGAGGTACACATTCCCAAATTCATTCCGAGGCACCTGCGGAGGGGAGGCACGGTAGAATGTCGCCAGTGGCCAGCAAGGTGGTCCCTTGCCATATCCCTTACCTTCCCATCCACGGCCACGGGGGGCTGGTACTCCTCAGTCTGCCAGTGGCCAAACAGACCCAGGTCATTGTGGTCCTGTAGGTGGGGCTCAGCGAGCCGGGCCTTCCGCGCCCGGTTGGAATAGCCTTTCACCATCTGCTCCAAAGCAAAGAGCCAGTTAGGAGGAAGGCTCCTGGCTCCCTAGCTACGCCAGGGGCTGTAGGAGCTCACTGCTTCCCACTATTCCTTCCCGTCAGCCCCAACACCACACCTGGGAGCTGGGCAGGTTTCTACACTCCTGGGGTGCGAGCAGCATTTACACAGCACCCCCGTCCCAGACCCTGAAGTGTACTAGTCTTCTCAATACACCAAAAAGGTAGTTCTCCTTATTGTGTCCATTTTACAGATGAGTGACCGGGGAGGGATAAGTGATCCACCTCCAGTCACAGCTCGTGAAGGCCGGGCACATGGGTGTTCAGGACCATGTGGCCTTGGAGATGAAGGTCCCATGGTCCACCCAGACCACTGTCTGCCCCGCCCCCCCTGCAGTGTCACCACTAGCCAGCCACGCTGCCTGTGGAAAGCACTTACTGCTTAGGAACCCAGGACCTAACATGTCCAGAGGCTAAGACTAAGATTTTCCATATGGAGCTAAGGGGTCAAAGGATGGAGGACTAGAAACCCACCTCCCTCCCATGGGCAAGGGTGGCGGGCACCCAGGCCTGGGTCATGCAACGTCCCCTAGAGCAAAGGCTAGGAGCTTTCTGAGGTCACATGGGGTCAGGAGCTTTCTGAGGTCACGTGGGGTCTGTCAGGTGATTCTTTACCACCCTTTAATACCATCAAGCCTGTTCTGACCTCAGGAGCTCTACCATAAGCCAGTGGTAGAGCACTTGTTCCATGCATACAAGGCTCTGGGTTCATCCACAGCCCTGGGAAATGCTGCCATAGGCAGGTCGCATCTGACTTGAGGCTTAAAGGGATCATAGAGCTGGGCGCTGGTGGCTCAGGCCTGTCATCCTAAGCTACTCAGGAGGCTGAGATCTGAGGATCACAGTTCAAAGCCAGCCCGGGCAGGAAAGTCCATGAGACTCTCATCTCCAATAAACCACTAAAAAACCAAAGTGGCGCTGTGGCTCAAGTGGTAGAACACTCGCCTTGAGCTGAAGAGCACAGGGACAGCACCCAAGCCGAGTTCAAGCCCCACAACCGACAAAAAGGATCAGAGAGAGGCGCTGACCAGGAGAAACAGAAAGAAGTACGTCTGGGAGCCAGTGGGGACAGAAGTCACGGGGGAGGGTCTGGGATGAGGATGGTGCCAGAGCACCACCTGCAACACATGGCCAATGTGGGCCTCCAGATGACAGCTGGGGTGGGGGGAGGAAACACTGTTTTGGTGGTCATACACATGTGTTCCAGAAAGATCTGTACAACTGACATACAGGAAGCACATTTAACTGGGAGGGAGACTGCCCAGGAGATGCTGGGCGGGAGCTGGGATGCCAGAGATCAGAACAAAGAATGGATCTGAGAGACTGGGGACTGTTCTAGAACCACGTGTGCTAAGGCAGTCACACGTTTCCCCTGTGACCCAAGTCACACTCTCACAGGATTAAAGAAGTCACGAAGACTTAATAACAACAAAAAAAGTCAATCTCACTAATTTTCAAATATTAACATGTTCAAATGGTAATAGCTTGGCTGTATTAGAATAACATTAACATGTTAAGCTGCTACCCGCTTTTGTGTTTTCTAATGTGGTGTGCACTGTTTATACTAGATGGTGGTAGCCTAAAGAGACTGCCTATGTGGCTAAGGAATACTAGGGAAGGGTCAGTATGTCCAGGGCAAACATGGCAGCCCTGCAGGCCCAACAGCAGCTCCACACACCAGCAGCGGGCTGAGCTCTGCCCCCAGGGTGTGCAGCCCCTCCCACTAGGCCTCTACCCTCCAGTGGTACAGCCCCAGGCTCGTGCTGGGATCTGAGGAGAAGAACTGCAGCTCTGGGGCCAGCAGCAGCAGCAGCCTGACTTGGCAGAGCCACATTCTGAGACATCTGTGGGAGACTGCTCTGAGCACGTTTCTCACAGATCAAACCCCACACGCCACACACAAGAGAGGCGGTCCAGGGGTCCTGCTGGGCTGTGGTGTTCTCATCTGTACCCACGCACTGTCACACGAGGGCAATCTGACTGTGTGCGTGCACGGATGAAGCCAGGCCCGGACCTCCGAGAACCCAGGCATGCACAAGCTCACCACACGCACCCCGGCTACTTTCTGGCTGATGTCCTGTATATTTTGGAAACCCCACTTCTTGAACATTTCTTATTAATGAACAACTGAAATGCTTGTCTCCTCAAATCCTGCTCAAGACCAAGGGAGATGGAGGCCTGCCTGCAGGGCAGCAGATCCTCCCCTACACCTGCCCCTGCCCTCCCCATGACACCCCCAACCCCCCCCCCAGCTACCTTGTAGGGCACCTCTCCGAGCCGCACCACCCTTGCTTGTTTCAGCCACGTGTCCTTGGAGTGTAGAGTATGCACACAGTCCCTACATGAGCAACAGGAAACAAGGTACAAAGTCAGTCATGGCTGCCTGTGAGGATGCAGGTCCTCCATGCCTCACAGGGCCCGGCAGCACATGGGAGAACACAGCCCGTCAGTTCTCTCTACACGTCGTCCGCACCCCAGGCTCAGGCTCTGGTCCTAACCGACCCAGCGCGGTGTTCGGACAAGCCCTACCCTGAATGGCTTCAGCCACAGCCAAGGGAACCTGCTACAGACACAAGTTCTCACTACTGAGCAGGGCCCACTGAGGGCCCGATCCACCGCCACATGCCACGCGGGGAGATGAATGTCCATCCAGAAAAGGGGGCACTGAGCCAAAAAGGCCAACTCCAACAAGCTAATGAGCCATCACAGAATATCCTGACACCTGCATACTCCGCAGTGACGTGCTGCGCGTCAGCCCGTGACTGGTCAACTGCCCCTGGTGTCACTTGACTGTTCGTTTATTATTCCGTACAAAGGGGGGAAAGGGACTTACTTCATTTTTCTTTTACCCACAGCATAAACTGTAGCAACACACACCATTTCAACCATTTTTATGTGTATAGTTGAGTGGCATTAAGCATACTCACACTTGTACACCTGCAACTTATGGGATCTATATCCATTTGAAACATCAATTCATTTTAACTTTTGTAATTAAATCCTTTTTTTCTTCTGTATGTTTTGACTTATAGTTGAAGTTTTTTTTGCGTGTGTTTTTGTAGGTTGTGTCTTGAACTTGGGGCCTGGGCGCTCTCCCTCAGCAATACAGCGTCACTTCCAGTTTTCTGGTGGTTCATTGGAGATAAGAGTCTCATGGATGTTCCTGTCCAGGCTGGCTTTGAACCACAATCCTCAGCTCTCAGCCTCCTGAGTAGCTAGGACTGATTTACAAGAGTGAGCCACCAGTGCCCAGCTGGGATGAAGTTTTTAAATTGTCCTATCTTAAGTTTTGTCTTCATCATCCATCATGTTACCCTGTTCTTCTTTTGTCCTGTACCAGAGCCTGCACTCAGTGCATCGCACTCTTGCTTGCCTTCTTTACTCTAAGCTGGTGCTCTACCACTGTGCCACCATCTCCAGCCCAGGTTTTTGCTACTTAACTGTAGAAAGAGTCTCAAGGACTTTTCTGCCTAGGCTGACTTTGAAATGAGATCTTCCAACCTTAGCCTCCAAAATAGCTCTCCCTAGACTTTAAGCTTAATTTCCAAGCTTCCTCTTCACAACGGCATATAGATATGTGCACATGCGCACATATACGTGTGCATGCACAGATGCATATGTATACACACTATGGATGCTGCTAAGGAGATGAGCCTATGTTAGCAGCCCCATGCCCAAGAAGGCCGCTAATCCCAGACAATTAGCAAGCCCTTGGCTGAGGCCACCATACACACACACCTAGAGTAGACAGCTTCTCCACGACAATACCCCAGGACTGCGGCTGTCTCCGGATAGATGGCCTCGTATTTCAGTAGGTGTCGCTTCAGGGCATAGAGAGGATGGTTCTTATAGGTGCCAATGGCAGTGGGCAAAGGCTGGTCCAGGTGCTTGGCCTGAAACTGCAGGATCCAACAGACAATGTTGAGTATGTTACTAGAAGTGAAATTTGAGGGGGACTAACTAACACACCTGAGAGCCTAGATTTACAAACACGGTGACTTTGGAACATGACATCTGGCCATGAAACGGATTCTAGATTAACCTTACGCTATGGAAAGTCAGGCACTGGTGGCTTACACCTACAATCCTAGCTACCCAGGAGGCTGAGGTCTGAAGCTTATGGTTCAAAGCCAACCAGGGCAGGAAAATCTGTGAGATTCTTACCTCCAATTAACCACAGAAAACCAGAAGTGGTGCTTTGCTCAAAATGGCAGACTGTTAGCCTTGAGCAAAAAGCTCAGGAACAATGCCCAGGCCCTGAGTTTAAGCCTCTCCACTGAAGACTTCCCTAAGGAGTCAGAGTGATGAGTAGGAAATCTACCACTATGACTCCCATTTTGGGCAGCAAGCTCTGTGAAGCTCTCCCCAGCATCCCTTCAGAACCCCAGGCGGGCCACACGGAAGGGGCAGGTGTGGAACAGCGGAGGGAGAAGACTGCAGGCTCAGTGTCCACTGATGGCGTGGTCAGGTTACAATGCCACCTGCGTGCTCCCCACTGAACCTGCCACGACTGAGTACAATGAACCAAAGACGCCAACAGGGATGCCATACATCACTGGAAGCAATGCTATGCGACTCTATCCTGAGTGGCAGGAAGTCTTAGTGTCTGTGCAGACACGCAGACCCCAGCCACCGCAGTGCAGCAGCAGCTGGGGGAGTGGGATGCCTCCGCTTCCTCACAGACTGACATACCGCATTTCACTCCTCCCTTCCCAGAAGACACCTGTTCTTCACATGAGGTGCATGTGTGAGGTGTGGTATGTGTGTGAGTGGGTCCGTGCACACACAATGTCTGTGAAGTGAGTCCTTCCTTCTTTCATGAGGTATATGACTTGCACATATTGACAGCTGTAAATTTGTAATGAACTAAAACCAAACTTCAAAACCTCACAGATGGGGCTGGGAAGGTTGCTTAGTGGTAGAGTGCTTGCCTTGCATGCATGAGGCCCCGGGTTCCATTCCTCAGCACCACATAAGCAAAAAGAAAAAAGCCAGAAGTGGCACTGTGGTTCAAGTGGTAGAGCGCTAGCCTTGAGCTGAAGAGCTGAGGGACAGCGCCCAGGCCCAGAGTTCAGGCCCCACAACCGGACCCCCCCCCCAAAAAAAAAAAATCTCAGTCAGCTCATTGTTCAACTATAACAAATTCTACTGGTAAAATTAAGGTAATGGTAACCACTTCATAGTCCTATGGCAATTAAATATGTCACAGTAAAAATATGAAGGTTAAGTTCTGGGCCCATAAGGTGCTCAACATGGGACATATGTGGGCCTATAAAATCGGGTGGTGCTCGGGGCCCCATCAGGCCTTACCTCCAGGTCCTCTTTCCTCTCCCGTTCCACAAATGGGCTCTGGTAGGGTCTCAAGGTTTCTGCCCACCACTCTGCATCAACGCGGCACTTGCGGGTTGCTGTCATCCAGGCTGGGTCATACCTTTGTGTGACATCACGGACGCAGCCATCGCTGTCGAAGCCCACGACATAGGCCATCGGTTTGGTGGCATATCTGTGACAGACCAGAGGCTGGCCCACAACCCCATGCACACAATCTACGCACACCCATTTTCCTTCTTGCTCACAGAACACCTCCAGCCACTGGTCTACGCCCGCGGCTCTCCCCGCTTCCGCCTCCTCACCATCGTTGGAAGTTTTCTTGCCTCTCTTACTGCTTGAAGAACTTGAAGATGCTGCTGAAAAGCCTAGATTCTTGTGGTGGCTTCTCCGCGGGGTCCTGGACTCACTCTCGGACCCCTTCTTTGTCCTCCGAGGCGCTGGGGCCCTCTTTTGCCTTTTGGAGCCCGGCCTGGGATCCTCGTCGGAGGACTGCTGGTCTTCTCCGCTGGAAAGTTCAAAGTCAGAGCTGCTGCCAGCCTCATCGCTTGCACTGTCCTCTTTGTAAGAGACCTTGGAGGCCACCCGCCGCGCCCGGCCATGTGGGCATCTTTTGGCCTCACGCTGCTCTTCCTCACTGGAGGACTCTCTCCGGTCCTTGCTGCCCGCAGCTGCCTTGCTCCTCTTCCCTCTGGCACCTGCCTTGCCAGTTCCCTCATGTTTGGCTCTTTTGCTGATCTTTGCCTTAGTATGGCTCTCTGGAGTATGGGTAGAGGGTTCTGAGGTGCCTCTAGAACCTTCTGTGGATCTCTGGCTAGAGGGTTTCTTTGCCTGAAACAAAGAAATTTTACTTTTCATTTTGCTAATGATACGATAGGAATCCTATAATTTAAGAAAGTAAAGTCACTGGCTAGAGAATCAGTTTATTGAGATGTCCCATGCTCAGACTCAACTGGCCACCCCACAGGCTTATGTGTAAACAGCAGCCAAAAGCTGCAGCCCCTCCGATGGGCTGCCCAACCTGGAGAGCAGAGAAAAGAGCAAGGGATTTGGAAACAGAAACCTGGATTTGGATTCCAGTTCTGTCTCAATCTGTGAGTCTCAGCTTCTTCAGAAAGAAGAATCCTGATTTTGCACAACAGATATTTAGGGCAGGAATGCAGCCATGGTTTTGGAATACAGAAAACTTACTCGTGTGCATCTAGACCAATAGACTTTAGAAGTGCCCAGACCTCACAGAGAACAGAGTATCTCCAGACTCAGAGCGCCTCACTCTGCTGATGAGGGTGGGGCCACTCTACCAGGTGTAGAAGCCCGCACCTGCTGGCCACCTGCACACCAAGCTCAGAGGGTGGGGCCACTCTACCAGGTGTAGAAGCCCGCACCTGCTGGCCACCTGCACACCAAGCTCAGAGGGTGGGGCCACTCTACCAGGTGTAGAAGCCCGCACCTGCTGGCCACCTGCACACCAAGCTCAGAGGGTGGGGCCACTCTACCAGGTGTAGAAGCCCGCACCTGCTGGCCACCTGCACACCAAGCTCAGAGGGTGGGGCCACTCTACCCAGGTGTAGAAGCCCGCACCTGCTGGCCTCCTGCACACCAAGCTCAGAACAGGGCGCCAGACTTTAGCCCCTCATGTACCCAACCTCCCCTCGCATGAGACATGTGTAAGCAGCCTCACAAGAACCCAGGCTCCATGAATATTAGCTCTTAAAAGTACAAAAAAAAAGAGATCGCTTATTTTACACTTTTTAATTCCTGTTTCTTCTCTTTGAAATCTGTGTACCTCACCTTTGCCATTGATAACTTGAGAGGGACTGGCTGCAGAGACACCACCAGTCGAGTGAGCAGCTGTAGAGCCCGAAGAATCAGTAGAAATATCTATGTGAAAAAGAGATAACAAACTTACCCAAAGAAAATAATTAAGACTGTTAATACAGTTGTTATGAAAGAAAAAAGGTAGAAACAACCAAACTATTTGAGGAGACACTGGAACTCTCAACACTTAAAATGAGAACTGTCCACTATATGTTAAAGAAGTACTGTTTTTAGAAAATGTAGGGCTGGCAAGGTGGCTCAGTGGTAGAGTGCTTGCCTTACATGCATGAGGCCCTGGGTTTGATTCCTCAGTACCACATAAGCAGAAAAACCAGAAGTGGTGCTGTGGCTCAAGTAGTAGAGCACTAGCCTCGAGCTGAAGAGCTGAGGGACAGCGCCCAGTCCCAGAGTTCAGGCCCCACTACCAGCACAAAAAAAGAAAGAAAAGAAAGAGGGAAAGGAAGGAAGGGAGGGAGGGAGGGAGGGAGGGTGAGAGGGAGGGAAAGAAAATTTATATGGCCAGGCACTGGTAGATCCTAGCCACTGAGGAGGCTGAGATCTGAGGATCATGGTTCAAAGCTAACCCAGAAAGTCCATGACTCTTACTTCCGATTAACTTTCAAAAAAGCCAAGTGGAGCTGTGGCTCAAGTAGAAGAGCATTAGTTTTGAGCAAAAAAGCTCAGGGAGCCTGGTGCTGGTGGCTCATGCCTGTAATTCTAGCTACTCAGGAGGCTGAGATCTGAGGATCATGGTTCAAAGCCAGCCTGGGCAAGGAAAGGCCATGAGACTCTTATCTCCAATAAACCACTCAGAAAACTGGAAGTGGCGCTGTGGCTCAAATGGTAGAGGGCTAGCCTTGAGCTAAGAACTGAGGGGCAGCGCCCAGGCCCAGAGTTCAAGCCCCATGACCGACAAAAAAAAAGTATGTGATCACATTTTCATAGAAAAATGCTACACATAAATAAGAATACAGACATGCGTATTTGAAAAAGGACCCACACACTGGTTTTGTAGGTGTTACAGGGGTGTCTTTCTGGATGTCAACTCTTTTGACTCTAGGCTATGTTTTTGAGAATTCAGTTGACCTTCAGGGATAGAGCTCCCTCATGGAATGAAAGACGTGTACACTGAACATTACTAAGTGAGCTCAAAGAAGATACAAATAAGAGGAAAGACATCCTGATTTATAAACTGGAAGACTTCACGTTGTCCAGAGAGCAATGATATCTAAATGAATCTACAGATTCAACACAATTTCTACCAGAATACCAATGGCTGATGAGGCATGGCTCAAGTACTAGAGCTCTTGCCTAGCAAGCATGAGGTCCTATGTTCAAACTCCAGTACCACAGATCTACAACAGCCTTTTTGGCAGAAATGGAGTAACAGGCTAACAAATTCATATGGAGTTGGAAAGAACCTCAAATAATGTACTGTGATGAGTCACCAAGTTACACTCACACTTCTGATTTCAGAACTCACTACAATGCTACAGAAATCGCAAGTGACAGATGTGGAGGCCAGAAATAAACCTATACATTTGTGACCAGTGGATTTTCTCCCATGGGGGAAAAATGGTGGAGATAATTTTAAAAATAGTTGAAAGATTAGTCTAATCAAACAGTGCTGGGCAACCATAAATCCATATGCTAAAACATATGAAGTTGAATACCTGCAACCAGCACAAATGCATGAAGGACCTCACTACAAGAGCAAAACCTTACATTTTTATATTAGATGACCAAAAAAAGGTCAGTCTTCATGACCATGAATTTTGCAATGAGTTCTTACATGTGACACTAAAATGAATAGCATAATGAACAAAAAAAAATAGGTATCTGAGACTACCAAAATGAGAACCTTGTCCATCAAAAAACTATCAATAATAACAACCTACATAATGGGAAAAAATACTTGCAAAACATCTGGTAGGTGACTAATAGAACACCTAAGAAGCTCTTAAGGATTTATACAGGTATTTCTTCAGGGCTACCCAAATGACAAATAAGTTCATGAAAAGACACACATCATCTTTAGACATCAGGAAAATGTAAAGCAAAACCACAGTGAGGAAGTACCTCCTGGCACCCATTAGAATGATTATAGCAAAAATAAAGATTAAAAAAACAACAAATGTTAAACTGGTACCGGTGGCTCACATGCAATCCTAGCTACTCAGGAGGCTGAGATCTGAGGACCACAATTCAAAGCCAGTCCATGCAGAGAAGCTCAAGAGATTCTTATCTCTAACTAATCGCAGAAAAATCCAAAAGTGGAGCTGTGGCTCAAGTGGTAGAAGCTGGCCTTGAGCAAAAATGGAGCTCAAGAACAGTGCCCAGGCCCAGAATTCGAGTCCCAGTACAGGCAAAAAAAAAAAAAAGTTAAACACAATGGTGGCTCTCACCTGTAAGCCCAGCTACTCAGGAAACAGAAATCTGAGAATCACCATTTGAAGCCAGTCAAGGTAGAAAAGTCTGTGAGACTATTATTTCCACTTTACCAGCAAAAAGTTGGAACAGCTCAACTGGTAGAGTGCCAGCTGTGAGCAAAAAAGAGGACTGAGATGGAGACCTAAAGTTCTAGCCTCAGAATTAGCACAAGAATAAAAGAAAAATGGTGGTTGGAAGCATGGTTCAGTTGGTAGAGTGCTAGCCAATAAACAGAAGTATCAGGTATCAAGTTCAAGTCCCAGTCTCAGACCTTAAAAAAAAAAAAGGAAAGAAAAAGAAAAATACAAGGAAGACAAACCTGGAAAACATGCAAAGTGGAAGACAGATACAAAAGACCACATGCTATATGGTCTCATGTGCACAAGCTATCCAGACAGACAGAAGCACACCAGTAGGAGATGAGGATGTGGGCAACAAAGGCTTGTTACAGCTTATACCCGGGGGGTTTCTCTGCAGTGAGAGTCTTTGGTGGCACAGATGCAAACTGGGTAAGTGTGGGCTTTCACACAGTGCTTACACCCATAGTTTCTCTTGAGAACAAGTCAGCTGGTTTATCAAAGTATTCTGAATAACTAAATTAGACTGCCACAGGGCGGCATTTGTAGTTCTGTCCGTGTCCCTCCCACACATTCCCAAGGTTCCTGTCATCAGAACACGTGACACGGAGGGGCGAATGACAATGTAGACTTCTCCACACACAGCTCTCCTGTTCCCAGAACTATCTGGAATCTGCCTTAAGATTTCTCCACTTTGAATCTTGATATCATCTCCAGCTTCCTGGGTGTTCCTGTGTCCCCAAGTCATCCCCGCACTCCAAGCAGTGGTGCAGAGGCTAAGCCACCCACCGTGTCTGCCAGGACCCGAAGTAGAAACCAAACATGGCCAGATAGCTCCGACTCTCAGCCAAATGTGAAGAGGAACGAAGCTGCTTCTGTAGACACACAGAGTCTGGGCCTTTCTCCACACCTCTTGGAATCTAAGTGTATGAATTAACAGCAATCTTCCAGGGATAAAGCCTATTTTTATCATGAAACAGTGCCATCAGAGGAGCCACTTACATGAACCAACTCCTCCTCATCACGAGCAGAGTAGACTGCAAACCTCCTTTCCAGTGTCGTCTGCAGGCTGTCTCCCTCACTGACTGAAAGGTCTGCGTTCACTGTAAACGTCCCAATGAACCTGGAAGAGACAAGGCACCCTCCATGCAGAGGACAGGAGGAGGGAACTGCCGCACTCTCAATCAAGAAAACGAAAAGCAGGAGTGAGACCTGAGACTCGCCACCTCTGTTCTGCTCCTTCCGTCCTGGCTAGCTCGTCCCACCATCACTGGACAGCCCATTCAGGTCACTCCTCCCTGTGGCACCTTCCTTCCCAGACTGCCCACCTGAGACAAGCACCCTGCTCCATGTGGCACGCTCTGCCGGACCCTCTCCATGCTACCCTAAGGACCTGCTGAGTGCCAGTCCCTCCACCAGCCTGGGAGCCCTTCCAGAGCCGAGGCCGTGCTGTGCGGTACCCTGGGCTTGATGTTTACTTACTGCGTCAGAGGAGGTCTGCAGACCTAACCTGAACCCAGACCAAAAGAAACCCAGTCCTCCACCCAGACTGTGCACGTGGGTGGCAGCTTACCATTTCATGAGGTTTGAAAGATAGCTCAAGTCCACGTCTTCAGGGGGCACCCGGGTAAAGCGAACTGGGATGATGGAGAGGCCAATAGCCAGCAGATCGACCTGCTGACAGATGCTGTTTCGATAGAATCCATTCGCCAGCAGGCACAACAAGTGAACCTGCAGAGGAAGAGGAAGGCAGGTGACAAGTAGTAGGGATCTGCTGACAAGTTTGGACGCTTTGTGAGCAAAGTTTACATTTCTACAGAGCAGGAAGTAAAATATCTATCGTTAGACACTGCCCAATACCTGTCATTCCCTGGCCTCTTCTCTGTGTACTCATCCTCACAGCTCAAAATACACTTTTTTAAAGCAGTCTTATCTTTTAAAGGTATGCTCAGCACAATAGCTAGATCAAACATGGGAACTTTTGGAGTTCATGCCAACAAGACTAGGAGGACAGAGGGCAAGACTCAGCTGGCAGGCGGGGTGGGCTTGCTGGTTGCCCACACTGCTTTCCCACGCGTGTCTGAAGCCAATCTCTGCTGCTGTATCCACCACGCCTCTTCCCCCTTTGACCTTGCCCCATCCTTCACTAACCTGTAATGACTCTGCCAATGTCTATCCTCCCCCCCCCCCCAGCAAAGCTTTACAGCATTTTCAAGCACAACTGGCCTTCCTTCTCAGTCACTAATAGCCTCCCTATTTGAATTAGGAGCCCTGCCTTTCTCCCTCATTTGTGCTTCAAACTTGAGATTCATCTTGATTTCCCTTTTATTTCCAGCACTCTCCAAGAGATGAGAACACAGCCAGCTCACTGTCCCCCCGGGCCTCTGGGGAGACCCACCCTCTTGACTGCGTCAAGTCTTCCAGACCTCTGTGCTAGTTTAAATCCAGCATCTCCCCACAGCCTACAGTTTCCCATCATCACCCTCTCTGGGGCCCACCACCCACCTGAGGACTAAGAGTGCCTTTTCCCCACCCCGCCCCTGCCTGCCACCCCCAGGTACCCTGATCATCCCAGTGACTCTATGCCTAGTATTCCAAATGCTCCTCAATAAAGACCCACAATCATGCCTTTCACTGTTCTGAGCAGTCTTGAACTTCTGCTTTGAAGTTCCTCTTGCTCCATGTATGAAATCAGAAACTCTTGATACTTATACAGTATCCCCTATCTGATTTGGCTGGGAACAGAAGTTCTAGACTTGGGATTTTGTTTTGAAGATCAGCACAGACCTTTCCAGTTAGCATCTCTAACCCAAAAGTCTGAAATCTGAAAGGCTCCCAAATCCCAAGGTTTTTGAGTGCTGCTGTATGCTCAGAAAGTTCCCAACTTGGAAGTATTTCGGGTTTCTGGATTCTTTGTCAAGGGTTGCTCAGGCTAGTAAGTCTCTAACCCCAAAATGCCACATGATGACCTTGCCGTGTCTGTATGCACGTCTGGTAACTGTTACCTAAAGCCAGAAGTCATCGTGAGTTTAGTAAGTTCAGAGTTGAGGTTGTTAAATTGTTGAAAGAAGAGATAGAAAGGGAGTTCCAGTTATTCCAGTAGACTATTCCAGTCTATTCCAGGAGACCTTGCCACATACCACAAGTTACTTTACATACAATGCTGCCTAATTCTTAACCACCCTCCAAAATAGACAGCATTATTATCCGTAGGGGTAACAATACCTCGTTTTTCTTATTCTCTCTGGGCCTCTGAGTAACACAAAGGCGCAGCGAGAAGAAGAAACTTGCCAAAGTCACTACTGAGTGGCAGAGCCCAAATGAGGTCAGCTTGACTAGAAGCCACGCTGTTTCCTCCTAGAGGGCTCCCAGCCCTCCCGTCCTCACCTTGTGTGTGTTCTCGTGGACTTCCTTGCTGAAACGCTTCATCATTCTCCGGAGGTATGTCTCAAACTCCATTTTTATCTTCTCACTGCAACGCAGGGTGAAAAATCCCCAAGTGGGAAAGAAACGGAAAACCTCACTGCCCCAGCCAAGTCCTGCTCGTCACGCATGAATTAGGCACAAAGCCATGCTACTCAAGCAAACGCACATGCTGGCTGTCTCCTGCACATTCCTCTGCTCCTTCTCACTACAAGCCTGCCCCCAAGAGAGGAGTCAGCGAGCTCGGCCCCACCACCCAGCTTCCACATGGCTCCTAAGACCGCTGTCTCTCCAGCTCACTCTTCCTCCTGGTCTTGTTGGAAAAGCCCCAGAGGTTGCAGCATTTCATCTGAAGCATGCAGTCTGCCATCCACTCCCAGCACCAAATCCTGCCTCACAATCAGACCTCAGAGACGAAGTCTCCTGTCTGGCCTCCCAACTCCCTCCTCAGCTTCTACTATGCTGACACTCAATCAGTGAAGTCATTTATATGGCACTTCTCTACTGAAAAATCTCTTAGAGTACTCAAGAAAAATCAGATACCTCCTAAGACACACCATCTTCCCTTCTGCTAATGTGCCCATCCTGCAAGGGCACTCATCAGCAACCCTTCAGACAGGCCTTAGGCTCCCTTCTGCAAGGCCATCAGAGGCTGCAGGGTTCCGGGAGCCTGGCTGTGGTGGAGGCTCTGTACACAATGGACACTGTCTCAAACTTGTAGTGCAGTGTCCGGGGGGACGCATGAGTGCTGAGACAGATAACCGGGATTCAGATCACAGCTCCTCTGCTTAGTGGCTCAGTGAGTTCTAGAATGTTACTTGAGCACAATGAGCCTCCGGCTTCTTGTTTCTCATACCAGTCTAAGGATCAAGGAAAATAGGGATGTCTACCAGATCAGGCCCCTCCCCTCTTCCACCCCATGCCAGAATACACAGGCTTGTCATTCCAGTCCTACGGGCAAACACAGGGCTCTCTCCCCTCAAGTTCCTGGCCATTCTGACACTCGGCTTGGCTCACCTAAGCACACTAAGTGTTTTTGTTGATATGGAGAGCAGGCACCTAAAAGCAAGGCCTAATCTTACCTTCTTTCTCTTGTTTTCACTTGCTCTGGTGTTTCGATTTCTATCTCCACTGGCTTCACAGGCAGAAGAGATTGACAGAAGGATGAATTTTCTCCCATGTCCCCTAGCACAGGCTCACCAAGTTCTATCAACAGTAATTTTTAAAAATCAGTAATAATGCCACACACTGGTGGCTCATGCCTGTAATCACCATTTGAAGCCAGCCTGGGCACAATTAACCACCAAAAAGGTGGAAGTAGAGCTGTGGCTCAAGTGGTAGAGTACTAGCCTTGAGCAACAAAGTTTAAGGAGAGGGCCTAGGCCAAGTTCAAATCCCAGCACTGCCACCAAAAAGAAAAAAAAAATCAGTAATAATTGTAATAAGTAATGTACTGGAAAGAGGAAGACAGGAATGGATGGAGAGACCACTGTGCCTCCCATGCTCTGAGCTCCTACAATCCAGTAGTCATGCTAAGGGTTTTACATTTATTTGTTCCATTTAACCACACAACAATCTAGAGACAGAACCTTCAGATGAGAAAAATAAACCACAGAGATGATACAAGTTCAATTAAATACTCTCTTGCTATCAAAAATGAAAACAATGCCAGGTGCAGGTGTTTTACACCTGTAATCCTAGCTACTCAGAAGGCCGAGAGCTGAGGATCGTAGAAAAGTGTCCATGAGACTTTTATCTCCAATTAACCACCAGAAACCCGAGCTGTGGTTCAAAGGGTAGAGTGCCAACCCTGAGGGCTCAGGAACAGCACCCAGGCCCCTTCAAGCCTCACAACCAACAAACACAAACAAAAAGCAAAACAATGATGTTTGAGTGTTTGTGTTCAAAAGAAAAACACAGCAAAGCGACAGCCAGGTGAGAACAACTTCTCACCTCCACACTGCTGAGCACAGTGCATCATGGTGGCTTTGCGCAGCTGTGCGTAGGTTTCGCCTTCCACACGGAGATCTGTCTGCAACAGGAACATCCCTGCATCACCCTATGTGGCTTGTCAACACTACCTGAAATGCACTGAATTGACTCCATTGGGCCTAACCATGAACTTCATTAGCAATGAATACACCTAATGACAAGAACTTCAAACCTCTATGGAGATTCTTGGAGTCTAGCCAAGCCTGGCTAAGTGCTCACCCCTGTCATGCTAACTATTTGGAAGGCTGAGATCAGGAGACCAATGCACTATGAGCCAGTCTGGGCTGAAAAGTCCAAGAGACTCCTCTGCAACCAATGCTTGGGCATCGTGGCATGTGACGGGCATCGTGGCTAGGTGGGGGCCCTGACTGCAAGGGCTGCGGTTCAAGGTAGCCCGGACAGAAAAGACCAGCAGACTCAATCCCAACTAAAGAAGCTGAGCATGATGGTGTGTTCCTATCATCCAAACAAGCCCCCAGATAGGAAGCCAGAGCCTACCTCAAAAATAGCCATCATAATAAGAGGGCTAGAAGGGTGGTTCAGAGGTACAGCACCTGCCTAGCAAGCATGAGACCCTGAGTGCAAATGCTAGTACAGACAGACAGAAAGACAGACAGAAAGAGCCTAAACATATAAATGGTCTCAAAAATTAGGCCTGGCATAGTAGGCCATACCTATAATCCCAGCTACTTATGAGGTGAGATTGGTGAGCTGCCAAGGCCAGCCTTGGCAAAAAGTTAGCAAGACTCCTAATTCAACAAAAACACCTGAGTGAGATGGTGTGCCTGTAATCCCAGCTACATGTAAGTTTGAGTAAGAAGATCACAATTCAGGCCAGCCTGGGCCAAAAAAGTAAAAAGGGTCAGGGTTGTGACTCAAGCAGCAGAGTCCCTAGCTAGCGAGACCAAGGCAACCCCCACCAAAAAAAAAGAAGTAAAGCCCTGCAAAAGGATGCACGTGTGTGGCTGGCCTAAACCCACTCGTAGAGCGGCAAGGGCCCTGAAGGCCCTGCAGCGGGTCCGGAGCAGTCTGCAGCACTGTCTTGAGACTTAACCTGGAGTTTATAAGACACCAAGGATTTTACACAAATTTTAAACAATACCATGAGATGCCTTATTGTCTGTCTACAAGACCAAAACAGAAAGCAGGTTTTCTAAAAGAAAGAAAAATAGGATCTTTCCAACAAGCAGTACTCTCAAACAAAAACAGAAAGCTGGCTGGCGGATTACATGTGTGCACAGCAATGCACCTGGGAGGCGTAGGAGTAGGACTGGGAGTTCTGGGCCAGTCTGAAGCAACAGCTGCAGGTGAAGTTGAAGCTTAGTTAGAGTGCTTGCCTGGCAGGGGCAATGGCCTGGCCCAATCTCCAGAACCATACACACACAAAAAGGATCAGATTTATATCCACCCATTAGACCTAGGTTTGACTATAAAGTTACTATTTTATAACAACTGCTTATTTTTCATTAGTAGGTGTGCTAATACCAGCTGAAATATTTGAAAAAGTCAGAAATTGCAACTTATTTCCAAACAGTTGTACAACGAACACCTCCATGGAGAAGAAAGATATACATTCAGTGTGGCCACAAGTTCAAGTTAATGAGCCCAATGAAGAATACACACATACACACACAACTTGAACATACTACTTTGTAATTATTTTGTGGGTTTGAGCATTTTCAAAACACAGTGCCAACGCCAGTGCCAGGAGAAAACCGTGCTCACAAGAGCCTGGAAGCACAGTGTCAGCCTGCTGCCTGTGAGGAGCCGACAGTCCAGGCCTACTCCATCTACACACTCCTGCTCCCCAGCAATCCAGAGCCGCAGCTCGCTGCTCACAGTTAACATCGGGTCATCAGTGGTACCAGTGCCCAGCTCACCGGAGAAGGAAGCACGTGCTCCCACAGGGGCAAAATGGCAAAGCTGAGCTGTGAACTGGGAAGGACCAGCTCCCTCCTGGCCTCTGCTCTTCCTACCCAACCTGCTGCCTTTTACTACAGCTATGCCATCCACAAAAGCCAGAGAATGTCCAACCTTCTTTGAAAACCCAGACATGGCATTTTCCTTTTTCTTGAGACAGTCTCCCTGGCTGACGCTGGCCTCAGACCTGCGATGCAGCTCAGGCTGACCTGGGACTCACTACATCCCTCGCCGTGGCCTCTCAAGTGCCAGGACTGCAGTGCAGTGCTCCTTCTATCAAAAGCAGAACCACAGGGAAAAACTGGGCGAGCAAGGAGAAGGGGACACTGTCCAAAAAGAAATGCACTTATTACCTGACTTACCTAACTGTAACCCCTCTGTACGTTACCTTTATAATAATAACTTTAAAAAGCGATACTAACTGCAACTGTATCTTTACTCTTAGTTTCAAAGAAAACAAGAGAATTGCAGAAATTGATATGAATCAAACAGTTGTGGAAGAGGGTAGATGCTTCACCTTCGACCTCCTCCCAATCCTCTTCGCTTTCCTGGTCATCTTCTTCCTCGCTGCCTGTATTCACAGGTGACTCCCTCTTAGGCTGCTTCATCTTTTTCAGGTCACTGGCAAAGTCCCTGTATTAGGATCACAGAGAAGGAGACGCTGTGAAAGCAGAAAGAAGCCAGGCATCCCTGTAAGCCAGCTGCTCTACAATACTGCGAGTTTGACGCAATCCTGGGCTATGCAGTGAGACCCTGTCTCAAACAAACAACCAACCAGGAAAGAACTTCACAATCTGCAAACAGTGTAGTTTTTGTTTGCTAGTAAGCTATAACCAGAATGGTCAGAGAAAGGTTAAAAGAAACCTCAAAGTTACCATGAGTTCCAGAAGCAAAGTTGTGATACATGTGTATAAACATGCACTTGGGAGGTCTAAAAATTACACTTGGACATGATAACTTAAATAGGATTCTAAACATTCACAGTGAAGCCAAAGGAGGATATTCTCGGGAGAGGCTCAATGAGCTCAATTGCTACGTGCATATGCTTATATAAAATGATGCTTAGTGAAATGAACTCCAAGAAATAGAAACAAAAGGTTTTTGTGGGTTTTTTTTTTTTTTTGTGGGTCATGGGGCTTGAACTCTGGGCCTGGGTGCTGTCCCTCAGCTCTTCAGCTCAAGGCTAGCACTCTACCACTTAAGCCACAGAGCCACTTTCGGTTTTCTAGTGGTTTATTGGAGATAAGAATCTCATGGCCTTTCCTGCCTGGGCTGGCTTTCAACTGCGATCCTCAGATCTCAGCCTCCTGAGTAGCTAGGATTACAGGCATGAGCCACCGGTGCCCAGCACAAAAGTTTTTTTAAAACTTCTTTTAGCAGTTCATTCCCCCCCCCGCCCCCGTTTTCCCCCATTTGTCACTGTTTTTTTATTTCTGTACCTTTTGTATTGTATGTAAGTTTATCTGATTTGGGGAGAGGAAGAAGCCCAGAAATGGAGAGACAAAGGGTGAATAAATTCAGCAGTAATACTCTCTTCTGGAAATGAACTATACAAGTTGAGGAAAGGGAGGTTGGGAGGGAAAAACTGGGAGAAAATGAGGGGAGAGGTGATACTGTTAAAAAAGAATGTGCTCACTCAATACCTGATTGATGTAACTGTAACCCCTCTGTACATCACCTTTACAATAAAAATAGAAAAAAAAAGAAAAAAGAAGGACATTTACAGTGGCTGAAGGATTTAGCTATACTTAAGAAATAGGGAAGCCAGGCTGGAAGTGTGGCTAAGGGAGTGCAATGTTCGCCTGAGTTCAAAACCCAGTGCAGGGCTGGGAAGGTGGCTTAGTGGTAGACTGCTTGCCTAGCATGCATGAGACCCTGGGTTCAATTCCTCAACACCGCATAAGCAGAAAAAGCCGAAAGAGGTGTTGTGGCTCAAGTGGTAGAGCACTAGCCTTGAGCTGAAGAGCTGAGGGACAGTGCCCAGGTGCAGAGTTCAGGCCCCACGACTGGCAAAAAATAAAATAATAAAATAAAAAACCCAGTGCTGCAGTAACTTGTGAGGATGGGTTGCACACAGGCTTGTCATGACCAACACAAGAAACAAGGAAGGGTATTAGTTAAGTAAATAACTACATAGATAAGCAGGTAGGTAGCTAAGCAATGATGCAAAAATAAATGACTGCTAATGTATTAATATTCTTGAAGTTCATATATAAAATACATCTACAGTACTGAGTTACTTTTTGCTTACATAAATTCTGACACTTGGTATCTAGTGTAAGCACTGAATTTTAGCATAGACATTTAAGATGTCTGTGTATGTGTACCAGTACTAGGCCTTGAACTCTGGGCCTAATGCTCTTGCTCAGTTTTTGTTTTACCATTTAAGCCACACCTCAAGCCCAGGTTTTTGCTAATTGGGATAAGGGTTTCTTTGATGGTTCTGTCTGGGTTGGCTTTGAATCATGATCCTTCAGATCTCAACCTCTTAAGTAGGTAGGACTACAGGTGTGAGCTACCTACTCCCTACTAATTCTCAGTTTTGCGCTCTTTATTAAACCTACTGGTTTTTGTTTGGTTTACTAGGGATTTAAGCCAGAATTTTAACTTGCTAGTCAGACACTCTACCACTCCAGCTATACCCCTAATACTTTTCTTTTCTTTTTTTTTTTTTCAGGATAGAATCTTGCTTTATCTGGACTGTCCTTGAAATTACTATCCTCCTGTCTCTGCCTCTGAGTAGGCTGACTTACATGTGTGTGACCATGCCTGACTTGGCCTACTGTTTTCTGCTAACATCCTGACAACAAATATCGCCACTTAGGATAAAAAGAAGAAATGCTCATGTGCTGTGGGTTAGACCACAGTCAGCTCTCCAGTGAGAGGGAAAGGTTTTTTGGCAGCATCCTGTTTTGTTTGGTTTGGTGATTCTGGGGTTTGAACTCAGGGCTTTGAGTTCACTAGGGAGGTGCTCTACCACCTGATCTGTTTGTGAATAACCCTGGAGACAGAATTCAGTAAGTGAGGGGGTAACTGGGAGCAGTGAGCTCAAATTTCAGTCTACGGCCTCCCCTGCCCTTCTACACTGCTGCCCTCTGCTGGGCTACTACTAGCCCAAGTCAGGATTACAAATTTATCCTGTCTGTCCTCTCTTCAGATAATCAAGTGGTTTCTAGTCAGCTATTTATTAGCATGAACGTTCATCTGCTACAAAAATACCAGCATCCATCAAACAAAAGGCCAAGCTCAAAATGCCCCAGGACATCGGGCTGTTGTCACAAGTAACCGTAACACCTGGCAGACAGGTTACCCAGGAGGAAAGGTTGAGAGTCAATGAAAAGAGGACCAGATGGCTTCCGATCTGTATCTTGAGTGGAATAAAGCACAGCAGGTGGAGGAGAAAACATGGCAAGGATGGGAGCAAGAATGTGCTGACTTGAGTGCTGAGAGGTCCGGCTAGAGAGGGTCAGGCTCCTGAGGAGAGCCGGACAAAAGGGTGCACATAGGATACTCACACGTTAGCCAGGCACCTCCTGGCTAGAGAGGGTCAGGCTCCTGAGGAGAGCCGGACAAAAGGGTGCACATAGGATACTCACACATTAGCCAGGCACCTCCTGGCTAGAGAGGGTCAGGCTCCTGAGGAGGGCCGGACAAAAGGGTGCACATAGGATACTCACACGTTAGCCAGGCACCTCCTGGCTAGAGAGGGTCGGGCTCCTGAGGAGGGCCGGACAAAAGGGTGCACATAGGATACTCACACGTTAGCCAGGCACCTCCTGGCTAACACCTTTGTGAATGTGAAAGCGCACAGGACCAAGAGTCAGAAGACCTGGTGTTTCCTGCCAGACCTTACTGTGTAACATGAACCCACAACTGCAGGCTGCCCCGTGCTCACCTAAAAATGAGAAGTTCCTGGCTCTTTCTAAACTTTGCTCAGAAGACTTTAAGGATTTCACACACACCACCCTTCTCCCCCAATCCCAGTGGCAGAAGAAAAGCACGGCTCCCACTTCTCGGCTGGGAGCCCTCAACACTGGGCCTGAGGCTTCCCACCACCCCACCTGAGGTCTTCTCCATCGCCGACGTCTTCTTCCTTCACTCCCTTGAGGTTTTCAGCCTTAGCAGTTGCCTTGGCCTCTTTCTTTTTTGCTGGACCCCCTGCATCACTGCTGCCTCTCTTCCTCTTTGCTTGTGAAGCTTTTGAGAGACAGCTCCTCTTTGGAGGTTTTGACTTCTCAACTTCAAAGACATCTAGGCAACCACACAGAACAAGGGGTGAGAAGTGACAGGGAAGATGGGTGTCATGTGGCTACAGGCAAGGTCATGGAAAGGCTCTGAACCTCTCTGCAAACCCCATCTTCCATCCCACGTCTAGGTAGCAGCCTGTTTCCCTCCACCCATGTTTGCAGTAAAAACTATCCTGTTTTTTTTTCAGTGCTGAGAATCAAATCTGAGGCCTCATCTGCTGGGCAAGGGCTCTACCAGTGAGCTATACCCACCATCCCAAACCATCACCCCCTACTAGCATCTATTTTTCCTAATACTATAGAAAATACTATACAACTCAGATTCAGATCCTGGAACAGCCCTAAATTCTTATTTCAGAATTAGCAATGTTAAGCCTGAAGTAACTTAAAAACACCTTAATTTCCTTAAAATAATTAGTTTTCTACCAAAGGGAAAATTCAACTATCTAGCTTATGAACTTTTTAATTATAAACCCTAAGTTCATAAGCTAGTTTAAGTAGGATAACTAAACATATTAATGTTATCTTAGTACTTTATTAATGCGGCCAGGAGGGACACTTTCCTGTTTTGCAAATGTATTCACATTAAGTAATAAATCTCCCTTTGTTCTTTCCATTACTCTGCTTCAATTAGTTTTGGAAAACAGAAGGCGGTCTAACTTTCATTAAGGTTCCAAAAGGAAATGTAACATGAGTGTGAAATAACGAATTTGTTCTTTCCTTTTTCACAGCCTGTCCTGCCTCTTAAAATAGGAATCTGTATCTCCCAAATGTACTTTTGCAGGTGGGGGGAAACTTTCCTTCATGATTTAAATTAAATCCCAACTTAGTTCAAATATGTTCATATTAATGGGAACTTGTTTTAATGCTAGAGAAGCCAGATTCTTTAAAGATATTTTAGAGAGCAAGTCTGTGCACTCCCATGTTTCAATCATAACCCAAATCATAAAGGGGGAAAAAGGGAAGCACTCTGAAAAAGATTTCAAAGTGTGTGATTTTGCTTCGCAAAATCAAGTCTGTGGCCGACGGTCAGAATGTCCGGATCATCAGCACCCCGACTTGGACGGGAAGCCTTAGGCCGACAGCCGGGCAAAGACAGCAAGCCCCGACGTCGGCCAGGAAGGCGGTGCGGGCGC